AAGCGCTATGCCTGCCACGAAATCTGCACTTCGAGGTTCGCCAAGCGCTGTACCTGCCACAAAATGTGCACTTCGAGGTTCACCAAGTGCTGTGCCTGCCACGAAATCTGCACTTCGAGGTTCACAAAGTGCTGTGCCTGCCACGAAATCTGCACATCGAGGTTCACCAAGTGCTGTGCCTGCCACGAAATCTACACTTCGAGGTTCACGACCTGCCACGAAATGTGCACTTCGAGGTTCACCAAGTGCTGTGCCTGCCACGAAATCTGCACAAACGAGCCACAAATATCCAAAAGTCACGATTCACTGCACCTGTCACGAAATCTGAGCTCCTCGACGATCACCACCATGTCCAAAGTGCTGCGCCTGCCACGAAAACTGCATTTCAAAGTAAAACAGCTCCGATCCCTTGCACCTGCCACGAAAAGTCGATTTTGGAGCAAAGCACGAGGTTTCCCTTGCCCCTGCCACGAAAAGTACCAAAATGCGCACAGCACCACAACCAGAGAGCAGTCGCGACAAGCACACGCTCCAGCCACCCAGATTCTGCAAGCCTGCGCATTCGAAGTGCACATTGACGATGTCGAGAGGCATGAATGTACTGTAAATAGCAACGAATTAGCCGCACACGCCCGACGCACAGCGATCTAAGCACACCTTCTTTTCACCTTACCGTAAGAACCCCTCAGTGTGCCCACACTGTTTGGTGAAAAAACAATATTCAAACAGTCTTGGCTAGGACCCCCCCCTCCAGAGAGTCTGGACGTATTGTTTTTGTTGTTATTTTAGTTTTTCGGGTCGTTTGTATTCTTTGTTTTTCGATGTTGTTGGCTCCCCTCTTAAAAATGATTCATTCCTTCCGTATGTCATTTTCCATTTTATGAATCCCTTTCAACCTGCAATTTGTAGAATGTCCTTAAATTTTCCAACAAAAATGGGTTGTTTCCTGTTATGTTCCTTTAAAAAATTATCTATTCCTTTCATTCATCCTTTGCAGATGATTAATTCCTTTCATTTTCCCTTTAAACTCCAGGCCTATTGCTAAGGAAAAGAACGAGAAAAACTGCACTCCCAGGAGCTGCCGTTCTGAAAAAATTCACCTCCCATTTCAAGTGTTCAAAACACTTCGCTGCATGTTTCATGGCCGTTTCGGATCTGCCTTGAACCTGGATCCTTTTTCCGTCTTTTTCGACACATCACCTTCGACGCTTTGCACCGCAGCGAGACCCGAGAGTTGTCGCAGGAAGGGCGGGATGAGGGCAACGAGATCCTCTTGCTGCAAGCGAAAGAAGTCCGTGTCAGCCTTCAAGTCCTCTGTCTCTGTGTAGTTGGAGCCGACCAAAGCAAGGCAGGCCACAAGCAAGGAGTCACTAGCAAAGCGGATGTCCTTCGCTGCTTGTAGCAAGGCTGCCTTTTGTTCATTCTGGGCTTTGGCCTCAGTCAGTGTATTGGATTTCACCTGAACAGCCACAAAGCTGTTCTGATCTTGGCAGAAGATTACAAAATCAACTGCCTTGCAGTTGGGCGGAGCCATGATCACTAAGAAGGGTTGCTCCTTGCCCTTCTGTTTGCTCAATTCCACGGCTTTCCCCAAAAACGACAACTTCTCATCCGCATCCTCCCTGCCATTCATGGCAAGTTCTTCATCCTGCAAGAGTGAATCATCAAGGCCGATGTCGCAAATACTGCGTGCTGTACCCTGTGTGAGAAGTGGTGGCAGCTTCTTGTACTTCTTCACAATCGCAAACATGGCAGCAAAAGCCGCCACGACCTCAGTGAAGTACGAGCTGGCTTGTTTCATGGTCTGCACGTTGCTGCTCTCAATGGCATCGACTTTGTTTTTGTACTTGTGCCACACCGAAGTGAATACACTGGCTGCATGCCACGGAGCAACAGTTGGCAGGTAGACTTGCATTCTCCCCTTCGTAACTGGGTCTATTAGCACACTCCCTTTGTATATAGCTTCAGGCATCAGGTCCACAAGTTCACGCAAAGACTGGAAAGGACAATCTGGTCGCTCCCATGTCTCTAATAAAGTTTCCAGCTCCTCCTTGGAAAACATTCGGGGCGAGGGACCAACGTCTCTAAGGCGCTCTGTGGCCCAAGAGACAACTCCAGCTTTACGACCTTCGGCGTTGCTGAAATGTGTTCAGCTATCTTCTCAATGGCTCGTGCGTAGCCCGTAGCTCCCCAGGCAAGAGAAATTCGGTGCAGGATTTCCCTCGTCGTTCCTTCTCCGTTCTGCAGTTTGCTGAGCTTTTCGGAAAAAAGGCCGAAGGCATCAGCACCCAGCGGTGCCAACGTGTACATGTAGACCTGTCGATTGCCAACATCTCCGCAGCTGCTGCGTAGTTGCTGAGAGCAGACATGACCACAAAGACTTGGCCTCCCCAAAGGTCCATGGCTCTGCAAAGCTCCTGGCGCACCAAAGCTTCGTCCTTCGACTTCTCCACCTTGTCAACTAGGATCACAACGGGCCGGTCACCGTACCATCTGCGCAGGATTTTCACAGCGTCAATCGAGTTGATCTTGAGAGAAGTCTCCCATCTGAAGTAATCTAAGAAGTCGCTCCACTCGCACGTTGTCGCTCATGTGCCTTGCTGCACCGTAAAGTACTCGCAGCGCCAAGTCAGTCTTCAGATTCTCAATGTAATGTTTGTTCATTCGAGAGTTGTAGGTGAAAGCCGAGTAGTTCTTTCGGTGTCTGGTTTCTACCATCCAGGTCGTACAGCATCGGAATCTCCTCTCCTGCTCCAGGTGCCTGTGCCACCAAGATGGCTGGGGAGTGAGCCTTGTCTGAGTTTCTTCTGCCAAACAATCTGCTTGATCTGTCCAGCAACTTCTTCACGATAAGTTGCACCTCCTGTTCACGATCTAGAAACCATGCCTTCAAGTTTTTGTTTTGCAGGGCCAGTATTCCGTTGAACGGACCCAAGTCCAACTCGACAATGTATGAAGAAGCTGAAGAATACGTGGCATTTCTGTCATTCAGCGGCACATCGGGAAAAAGCCGCCTTCCAAGAAGCTCTGCCGCTTCAGTGAGACGAGAGAAGACTGGCAAGCCTGGCACCTGGAGCAAGAGACAGAACATCTGACAGTCCCGTGTTTGTGTTAATGGTACTTTCAGTGTACTAATCCTTTTGTTTACCTTCCTTGTGGCTTGGGATTCAATTCATCTTTTGGAGGCATACTGAAGGTATTCACTGAAGACACACACAGAACTTTTTGAACCAAAGAATGTGAAGACGTGAAGTAGTTTTCATCTATTCTTGCATCTTTCGGGAGAACTGTGAACACACTGAAGCTGTGCAGCAAATGGCCTTCTCCTGCTGGGTTTTCTCCTCCGCCTTTTCCACATTTTTCTTTGCCCCTTCGACCTTCTCCTCATCTCCTGATTCTCTGGCTCTTCGCAAGTCCTCCGCGGCCATGTCCAGCAGGCCCAAAGCACGTTTCAGCTGATGTTGTGCCAAAGTCAAAGCATCAACCTGTCACAAGTGCTCATAACGAGCCAGTTCTTGCGGAACAAACACTAAGATGAAGACAAACCGGAAAATGAGGACATTACGGGGGTGAAGACTAAGTAGAACGTCTCTTCAATTGGACTGAATGCACTTCTCCTCATCTGCGGTCCGAGCAGCCTGTTGCAAAAAGACATACTTCAAATGATTGTTCGTTTTCTGCAAACTAGCAAATATGTTCTTCTTGTGTATCTTTCGGTTTCTGTGTGAAGAAACAAAACTGGACGCTAGACATGACAAATCTGGAGCAGACACGTCACATGTGACATGTCGCAGGGAATCTTTGAAGTGAAGCAAAAACAAAGTTGTTATTTGTGTTAAAACATCGGTTTCAGCTTTGAACATAATACGTGTGTGTGGGGACAAGAAAGCATGACTATTGTTTCACACCAACATTTCGAGCCCTTGCTTCCGTGAGGTCTTAGGTCTCAAACAAGAACATTTGGTTCAGAAGGCTAGCTAGCTATTTCTAGTGGTTTTTGGTGGCGAGGACTTTGCTCACAATTTGAAACCTGAGAACTTGGAACCCAAAACACACGTCTCTCTATATGTCTCTCTATATGTCTCTATCTGTTTCTCGTTTTCCTTTCAACGTGTTAACCCCTCTTTTCCTTCTACTGTGTCTTCGTCCTCATTCCCAGGCCTCTTTCTGCAAAGCACCGGAGTTGCTGCGCTTGCCATGCCAAATCTTTTCAGGTTGCTAATAGCTACTAGGGTGGAGGAAAAACAGTCTGTTCAGGTTGCTATTTTGTTTGAGGCCATCCTTATTGGGTTGAAAAAACGTTATTTTCAGGTTGCAAACATGTCGGTGACCTGGACAAGAGCCAATGTCTTGGATCCGCGCGTCTTCGGGACATCCTTGCAGCTTTGTGCTTGTCCTTCTCAATTCAGCTCCTCTACCCACATCCGGCACAAATCAACAGGATCATCAGGACGTTCGATGGTGGGTTGGGTTGGTGGTTTGGTACTTCTTGAAGAACAGCCCTGAACTTGAAAACTGCTTCTGGAAAGTGAACAAGTACTCTCAAAGCAGTGAAAGCCTCGCATTTGAATGACTTGCTCACAACACAATGCAATGGGATTCATTATTTGGGACAGCAATGTACCGCGGCAGCCGGCAGCACACGCAATAGGGGCCCAGTCAAGTGCAGGAGACGCTAGCGCTACGAGCGGATCCTCGGACGATTCCAACCTGCCAAGGGATGGCCTCCACCCTACTTGCGATGGCCTCCAACCTAGAAGCAATGGCCTCCACGATCAATGGAAGATTGCGTATCTGCTTTCTGCCAGAAACACTCGACCCGCAAGGTCAACATTCCTTTCAACTCATCAACCAAAAGCACTGTCAAAGCAATGCAAAAGCTGAGTAGAGCGCAACTTCCGTCTTCAAGCCATACTCTACACATCCAACTCTAGAGATGGCCATAGATGGCCCACATCACATCTCCCCCGTCCACCGCGCGCGCTTCGCTGGCGGGCGGCGTTGGCGTTGGCAAACCTTCGCCTTCGCCCTCCGGAGGTGAGTCTGAGAGGACCAGGACCACTCCACTTGGCAATGACCTGACCGCACTCCACCGAAGCCAGGTGTGGACAACCAATCGGACACCGGAACATTCACCAGAGAACCATTTCAAGAATGAAGAACGAGACCAACTTCTGCTTTTTTTACCTTCTAAAACCGCTAAGTGTGCAGCAGAGGCCCATTCTGCAGATCTGGGATTCCTCTGGATCGCCTGTACACAGCGTATGCGGTTTCACGAGACGTTCGGTCGGCGTCCAAGACACTGTCAACGTCGGCCTGGCTCGGCAAAAGCGGACATGTCGTCTCCAGATGTTCGAAATCGTCCTGGATTTCCATGGCCTTTCCGTCCTCTGGCCTGAAGAGAACAGCGAGAACATGTCTGAAACCAGCGCACGTCTGAAGCGGCACGGAATGGACTTTCAGGACCCCATGTTTAACTCCTTAAAGGAGCGTTCTTGCACATTCCCGAACAACTCACGGCTTTTAAGAGATTCCCAACGTCCAAAGCGGAATCCAATTGCCGGTGGTTTCACCAGGTGTTGCAACAAGTCGTGTTGGAACACGAGGTGTCCACCGTGGTTTCACCGTGGTTCCATCGTGGTTCACATGTTGCTTCCAAAAGCTCTTGCAGCGTTCGGACGCTATGCTCGGCTGCTAGCCATCGCAAGTAGGTTGGAGGTCATCGCTACTAGTAACTAGTAACAAGAAGCTACTAGTAGCAAGGACCCTACTAGGGGCTCCTGGCCTTACTACTAGGAGCAAGGACGATACTAGGAGCAAAGGGCATCTCTACTAGTAACAAGAAGCTACGAACGTAGCGATGGTCTCCCACACTTTTCAGTATGGATGGACGACAGATGGATTCCTCGCCTCAGGGGCCTCAAAGGCAGTTTATGAAGTCTCTGAAGCCTCCGAGTGTGGAGTCTCAAGCGCTGATCCACCTGCGATCAGAAAGGGATGGTGACCATGAACGAATAGGCTTCTGATCCGTCCCTGATCTGAATGTCATATACTTCATGTCACGTGAGCAGAATCTGCAGCAGATTCCCCAAGACTCGACGGTTCTGAGACTCAAGTCAGGCGAAGGCTTTTGAAGAGACGAGAGCGCAAAAAGCAGCACGGACAACAAGAAACGTAGCACAGCCCGTTCGTCAGTGCTGTTTTTTTCGTCTACCTTAGGATGTCTCTGAGCTTGTGCTGCAAAGCCAACCGAAGTGTTGGACCAAAGCCTTTCCTGGCACAGCTTGCGTGTTGGACAGAACGATCACACAAGTGCTGGACAATTGAAAAGCCTGAAATGGTTCTTCCTGGTTCTTTTCTTTTTTTAGACCTCTACTTATTGTCCTTTCGTATTGATTCAATGTATTGTGAATCTTCTGTTTCCATTTTTGCATGGTCCTTTGATACAATTCTGATGCTTGAAGCCTCAAAAATGCGTTAAGGCCGCGCTTCAGAACTGGAAAAGCTACAAATCCCAGGCGCCGCCAAGGCCGCGCTTCGGGGCCAGGCACGGCAGGCGAGGTTGCTGAAGTCCATCCGCTCACTCCACAGAGCAGCCTCGCCACCCAGCAGCCTGTGTGATCCAAACGACCAAAGCGAGTGAAGGCGGTGGCCAGTAGCGACCAGTAGCAACTTGTAGCAATTAGTGACATGGCCTGGGGCCACGTAAGGCCTTGTGTGTTTCTGAACCTGTTGGCTTCTTCGTTGAACCCTCAGATGAGCCTCAGGCTCCAAAAAAAATAGTCTTCCAAACTGTTGCTCAACAAATCGATGATTCTGCAGCCCTTTCAGGCTGCGCATGGTCGTGAATGTGGCCGAGAAGGACTAAAATACATGGTCTAGCTTTTTTGCATATTGACCATTGGAATATTGGGATCATTCAAGCGTTTGTCGTTCTTGTACGATATCTTTTAGGAAAAGCAAAGCATCAATGGACTTTCCTTGAAGAAACGTTTTCAGAATTGGCCAACCTCTTGCTGGGCTCATTTTGTAGTGGTCCCTCATCAGCGGCGTGCTCGTAGAAATCCATCCATCTCAGAACAATGAGTCTTTTAGGTGAAGTCAGAAGTCAGCTTCATGAGCATTAGGTTGGAGGCATTTGGAGGCCCATCGCTTTTAGGTTGGAGGCTATCGCTCTTAGGGGGAGCTTATCTCTTTTTCTTGATCGTTTTTGCTTCAAGTGATTCAAGTATTTTCTTTCTGCCTTTAAGCACTGAGTTTTGTACTCAGAAGACCAATCCAAATACCAACAGCTGCTTTGCACCACAGAAAGGTTCTTCTTCACAGCCACGAAGGCTGAGGCATGTCCCAGCATGGCTGGTGGCGCCTGCGACACGTTTGACACTGATGTATACAGTCATCTACACTCGCTGCATGGGGCAATGCTTGAACCTACTTCATTCATTCCGTGTTGCAACCCCACTTCAATCGAACCTTCCACTCATCTCTTCTCCTCCCCCCTCCTTCCCCTTCTCCCCCCTTCTTCCCTTGAGCGCCAAACTACTCAAAACTTGTTTCCATCAAGGATCGTTGCTTGGATTGTTTCGAAACAAATCACCTGAGGTATGTAGAGGAAATCAAGGAGCTCAGCAAACTGCAGAACCCTGCCGTTTCTCTTGCGTCACAATGCGAGCCTTGGGCTGGAATCGAAGGCTGACGTTTCCCCAGCACCTCCAGCGGGAACACCAACAAAAACCTTGTCCGACGGCGGCCATGTGACATCGTCTAAGGGTCCAACTTCCATGGCTGCACAACAGCCTCAGATGAACAAAGAACACCGGTCTAACGAGCAACTTTCTGTAGGACCGGTGGAAAGGGTCTGTGGTTCGCCAAAGCGGCTCCAATGGGAAGCCGTAAACCTTGATCAAAGGAATCCTCCCAAATCACCGGGCGCTTCCCATGCTTTTGCACCTGAGCGGCTCAAAGTGGTGAGATCCGTTTCCGCATTGTTCTTTTAATTCAACTCCATTAGAACCATGAAATGTAACTATTACGTTAACTGATATATTGCCCGTTTAATCTTCTCATTGTTGTTTAAAAACGATGTCAGTTCTTCGACCTTCGGACCTCTCTTCTCTTCTCTTCCGCTTCTTGTGGACAGAGCGATGGCTGATCCCGAAGCGGCCTCTGCCCAGATCTCGTCGAAGAAATCCTGCAAGGCCTCCAGAGGTCCGAAACCTCCGGTCGACTTTGGACGAGGAGACGGGCTCGGACGGGTCGAAAAGGGTCGTGGAATCGTACATAAACCATTGTCTTAAAAGGGCTAAAGCATGCATAGTAGCAACCATCAAGCGAAAGAAAAGAAGTCTGAAGAAAATGAAAAAGGCAAACGGAAAAAACAAAGAAAAAACAAGAACAATCCAAGACGGCAGGAGTGCAGCCTTAGAGTGGGAAAAACAGGACCTTTGGGAATTCACATGCTTGCACCCAATGGGTACCCACTCCAACAAACACAAACACAGAGTGAGTGGGGTTTCTATTTGAAGCGTTCCTGGCCTTGCAACCCCTTGGTACTGCTATACTTGAGAAAATATGTCTATCTCCAAGCAAAACTCTCTTGCACCCATGCTGTCTCTCCCACAAACCATGTACGAAGGGCTGAAAGTGCAATGGCAAATCCCATTTGAGAAGGAATGTAAGTCATAGCGTTCTCGTTCGCAAAGTCACAGGAACGCAAAGAATAGGTCGACATCCCGGAAGATTCAAAGCTTTGTTCATATTCAATCCCGGAAGGGAATCACCTTGGGCCCATAACAATGATCGACCGATGCCCTACAAATTACATTGTCAAATGACAAGAAGTTCTCTTCGAGGAAAACCGGGAGGCAAGAAGCATGACCCAGTCAAGTACAGATCCGAGAACATCCACTCAGTGAGAACAAGGTGCCATGCTTCTTCATCCATTTGCGGATGTGCGGCATCGTCGTCCAGCAGCGATAGTCTACCTACAAGGGATTAGAACGTTACGTTGGGGCTCCTGGCCGTACTACTAGGAACAAGAAGCTACGTTCGGGGCTCCTGGCCGTACTACTAGGAACAAGAAGCTACGTTCGGGGCTCCTGGCCGTACTACTAGGAACAAGAAGCTATTAGAAGCTAGGGGCTACCTTGCAAACATTTGAAGCTCCAATCTGAGACGCGAAGTGACGGTCCCTGACGCCGAGTGTGACATGTACTTTGAGACGGTCCCTGACGGCCGAACGTCACCATGACGCAATAGCAATGGCCTCGTCACCACCCACATGCAAGAATTCATCTGGAAACAGTGCAGCCACTTCTGCAAGCACCATCTTCGCGACCTGTCCACCGTGAAGCCAACCACGTCGGGGAGCGCACCACGCGACAACGCACAGCGACTCCCGAGACGATTTCGGGGGAGGAAATCGGAACGAAAACACATCCAACTGGCAAAAGGAACGGAAAAACCACAAGAACAAACAATTCCATCATGGTGTTTCGATGTGTTTTGTCTTCTTCTTCACTTCTTTGAGTTCTTCTCTCAGGCAAAAGGAACGGACTCGGCGCCAAAAAGAAGAACCAGTTCTGTATCAGCATTGCGTGGTTCATCCCTCCAAAAAAAATAATTATCTTTTCGCTCGCTTCACGGTCACACTCCAAACAAAATCATCATTCCACTTGGAAGGAAAAGAATGACACTCAGAACAAAGAGAGAGGAAGTGGGACCAGAAAAGGAAACAAGTACATCAACAGTTGAGGAACAAACCAATCGAACAAGGAAACATCAAGACTTAAACTTAGACCAGAAAAGGAGAAAGAGTCAAACGGAGGAGGAAAGGCACATTCCTTTGCGCGGGTCGCCTGTGCGTCTTAATTTGTTGGCATGCCTTTTCTTGAGTTTTGCTCGAGTCTTCCTTTGAGTTTGTTCCAACAAACACGGGTGGAGCTTGTCTGTCGTGTCTGGCATTGCTTCTCCTAGTCTTTCCAACTTTGGAGGCACTGTCTGGGAATAGCAAATGTATTGAAAAGGCAAATGTTTTTGCTCCTTGCATGGTATTGATTATAGTCAAGCTGAAAAATCCAAACCCTGCATTCTTGTTCAATGAAGCATGTTTGCTGTGATGGGCAAAAAAGTAGGGCTGTGACGGGCAAAAACTAAGGTGAGCCCCTCCCTCAAAAAGAGAGAAAGAAAGTTTTGTTGCTCGGTGGCAGCAAGGATACTAATATTAAAAATGCCTGAACCACTCTTGCTGAAACAAGTGCCAACTAATATCAAAATGACCAAGGCATAAACTCTGATGGATGCCATGTTTGTTTCGCCTCACGCGAGCGAGGAGATGAGATGTCGAGCGCCAACTTGTCTCGAGCTTTGTAGATGTTCTTTGCTTCCTTTGGATCATCAGGTAAGACCTGAAGCACTAGGAGCAAGGGCGCTACTAGGGCGAGACGAGCCGAGGCGAGCGTCGATAGAATTTGTAATCATCTGGTTGGAATGAAGTGCAACAGGACTCTTAGGACTCTTCTCTAAAAGAAAGGTTTGGCCTACCGTGCCGTGGAAAGAACCTTGGTGCCGTACATGTGTGCAGTTGGAGACGCTGCTCGGCTCTCCAAAAATCCAGCTGGCCGTGTGCGCAGGCATGTCTAACCTGGCGATCTGACGGAATGTGCACTGCGACCTGAGCAAGTGTCCTCGACTCTAGGACTAGTAGCGATGCCCTTGTTCCTAGTTGTATTGCCAGGAGCTACTAGTAGCTTCCTCTTCTAGGAATCACCTCCATTTTCCAGCAAATCTGGTAGGTTGGAGGCCATCGCTAGTAGGTTGGAGGCAGCATGAAGCGTTTTTGTTACTCGGAGCGATCGACAACGCATGTGGCTTGAAGCATCGCAAGGAGCACTCTGGCACGATGCGGATGGACAGATTAGCTGCCTGTTCAATCAACTGCTTCACCATGGCCTGGCACTCTGGATCCGCGCAGTTGAAAAGGATGCTTCAAGGCCAATGCCAGCAATAAGCCCGTTCAATGGAATCCAGATCGAAAAACAAAAAACTGTTCTTTCTTTTCTTCTTACAGACTTGGGTTTGCCCAAAGAAATCTTGCTGACAAGAAATTCCAGAAGAGGCTGAGGCTGGTCTTGGATTCCGCGCTCGCTCCAAACGTCTCCCAAATCGTCCGTGCCTTGGAATAGGTCTGGCTCAAAGCGCCTAGCTCCGCCAGCTTCGGCAAGGAGTCCAGTTCCAAGGGAAAGCTCACGGCCTTGAGGTCAAACATCCCAGAAACACAGCCGCACTGCGGCAATTGGTCGCGGAGTCGCGTTCTTGCCAATATGTTAAGGCTGAGCATCTAAGACAACACAAAGCCTTTCTGGGAAGTGTGTCACGCTGCGTGTGTGTTCCAGATATCGGTCGAATTTCGGAAGCCTTAAGAAAGCTTTCCAGTGCACTGACATAATCACGTTGTACCACATCACAAACTCACTATACATACATCACTAGGTTGGAGGCCATCACTGTGGAGGCGATCGCTAGTAGGTTGGAGGCCACCGCTACTAGGGTGGAGGTACATACTGACATACTACATTTTACCAGCACAAAGCATTTGCAACAGCTTCCTGCAGCTCTTCCTCATTGAAACTTCCAATCCCCGGTTCTGCCGGGTTTAGCTGACATGCAAAACTATCAAACCACTCTCCAACCCCTCATCATTCGTCAACCAGTGGAGCCTGTTGGGTGCCCTTTGTTCCTAGTAGCGTCCGATCGCTCCGTTCGTAGCGATGCCCTTTGTGACTAGTAGCTACTTGTTCCTAGGAGCTTCTTGCTCCTAGTAGTAAGGCCAGGAGCCCCTAGTAGCATCCTTGCTCCTAGTAGCGATGCCCTTTGTTACTAGTAGCTTCAACCAATCCGGCATTCCTCAGGTGACCAGGCATCTGTGAGGTGCCAATGCAGCACGTTCAGTTTGTTCGCTGCCATGGCCCAAAGCAACGATGTGATCACCTGCCAAGTGTTTGGTCCATTTAGGCATCAAAGTGCTTCAAGAAGTTCTTTCAAAGCAAGGCTTCGCACTTGTAGAAAACAATCCTGCCTCAACTGGGATGAATCGCTCTTAGGTTGGAGGCCATCGCTTCTAGGTTTGGAGGCCATTGCTCTTAAAGGTTCAAGAATGTCTTTCAATCCAAGACTTCCTGCCTCAACTGGGATGAAATGTCTTGCAGTGTCCAACAGTATTCCACGCCAAGGAAAGCGTGCGTCATCGTTGATTCGCAACGTGAGCACCTGCGGCACCGAGCAAAGCTGCAGAGCTGCGCCGTGCTGCGCCGTGCGGTACGCGGCACCGCGACTGTCCCAAGCGATCCGGCTGTGACCGGGTACCGAGTTCGGTACCGAGTTCGGTACCGGGTTCGCCTGTGTTACTACATGTTGGGAATCGTTTCACCTGTAAGTAAGAAGCTACTAGGAGATATAGAACGAAATAAACATGCCAAAGGGCAACCAACATGCATGAGCATATCACTAGAGGATTTTTGTTCGTGGATGTCCCATGTTTCCACAAAAAGCAATTTCTTTTACAGGCATGCACGACATGACAAAGCTGTTTCGCTCTGCGCCCGCCTTCCCATCTAAAACTCCTGGTGCCCAGCTCCAAGTGGCGCCTCAGAAAAAGGATGCTACAAAAAAAGTTCCTGCTTTGTCTTCCTAGTAGCAATGGCCTCCAACATTCCTGTGTTGTCTTTCCCTTCTTTTCTTCCTTTCTTCAGATCTGATCTTACTTCTTCCTTCCTTTCTTCCTTTCTGTCTTATTTGTTCCATCTGCATTCTTTTTTGGACCTTTAGACTTTAGAGATTCTATTCCTATTTCTTTCTTCCTTTCCCTTCCTTCCGTTCCTTCCTCTTTCTTCAGCCTAGGGGCCTTTTTTCGAGCCATCAGATCTCAAAGCATCGAAGATCTGCAACAAAGTCTCCATGCCCCGGCGGAAGCCGTGGATGGACTTCGCATGCAGCTCCGAGGCGACAGAGACAGTGAGTTCATAGGATTCATCCATGTCCAAGCCAGGCATTGTCACTGTTGCTCCTCGAACTTTTCAACAACAGTCGACAGTCGGAGATTGAATTTCAGCGCAAGGGTTCGAGGGTTCGTTCCGTCTTCATTGGCAAAAGATATTATGCAGATAACAAATCTCCAGGTGATATCTTGTCTTATTCAACCGTTCAGAAGATATCCGTTGCTTCAACATGCTGATGCTCCAAACATCTGTGATCCCAAGCACTTTATAAGTGAAGTTCTTCACTCGTCTTACTCGTCCCTTCTTCATATCTGTTCATCCTTCCAATCGTCCTGCCTTCCCCTGGGTCCAAGTTCACTAGAAGAGTTTAGAAGGAAGGAAAGAAAGAAAAGGAGATGCAATGAAAGAAAATCCAGAAAACACAAGAAAAAATATCAAGATCAGATCTGATCAGAAAGATCAGATTGGTCCACATCATCCTACTATAGTCTGTTCCTTCATCCTCCCTACTAGCGATGGGCTTCCAACCTATTCGTCTCTTGTGTCCAACTCGTCCTTCAATGTCCAAACCTCCAACCTACTAGTGTCCTTGCTCCTAGTAGCGATGCCAGGAGCCCCTAGTAGCTTCTTGTTCCTAGTAGCGATGCCAGGAGCCCCTGGTAGCGTCCTTCAATGTCCAAATTCACCGCTTCCAACTGGTGCCAATTCTTCGAGTTCTCGCACTCGTTCTCCTCACTCGTCTGACCACAGCGTTCCTCCTTAGGAAGACGAGGCGGCTCAACTTGAGCGTGGCCGTTTCTTCGGCGAAAAGACGGGGCTGAAGAACAGACTTCGATTCCTTTTTTGAACGGAACGGACCTGATCTCAAACAGTTTAAACAGAGTGTGTTGCGTTTACACCATGTTTCGGCCGCTCGTCTGCATGCCCTCCAGCAGAAGTGTCGTAAGGTCCAAATCACTGCATCCAGAAGCTCAGGTCCTCGGGAAGCCCGGAAGTGATGGAAAAGACGTCTTTGACGCTTCAACTAGTAACAAGAACGCTACTAGGGGCTCCTGGCATCGCTACTAGGAGCAAGGATGCTACTAGGGGCTCCTGGCATCGCTACTAGGAGCAAGGACGCTACTA